TACTTTTTGTAAGACTGTTCAAACTCAAGCACATAATCTCTTCCTAAAACTAGATAACCGATGGAATGAGAGTTTCAAAATTTTCGATTTTTATTATGATGAAACTAAGCAGCTCAAAATCAATGGATGATTTGCACAAAGCCTCTTCACTTCGTCGTTTGCAGGAAGAAAACTGCAAAAACATAAAATTTGAAAGGTGTTTAAGCAAATCTTGAAAATCTTTTATAGCATTTTTAGAGACCACGACTGAATTAGCTTTCATTAAAGATGCATTCGGTGTACTTGTTCGTTTTTTAAGCAAATAAACTATAGAACTTTTTTGTTTTGGGAGAGTCTGACTCAACATTTTTGTTCATGAATGCGATGTTAGAAGCCAAGCAGAAAACGAGATGGACTTTTGTAGCACTATGATCCAGTTTCAGATCATACTCATTATGAAAACTGTTTCAAAAACAGTCTTGTCTATTGCTATTTGGTGGCACTGCTTAGAAGGCACTGAACAACTGAAACAATTACAACGAGGATCTAATAATCTCACTTGCTGGAAACTACTAAGGAAAGATATAATGCGTTCTGCTGTGCCTGTAGCTCACTTGCAACATCTGGTTAAGTGCTCCAGCTGAAGCAATCATATTATTGAGAATTCAAATGGCAGATGTTTCCGCATCTTGCTTATCTTATGCTTCGGCGGATGTCATTCCATTCATTTTATATGATTATGTGTGTAATGGCAGGAATACGCATTCATTTTTGATTTCAAGGACAGATGTGTTTCCTGCCCATTAAGTGTTTCTCGGTGTACTATGTCTTTTCTTTCCTTCTCGGGCTTCTCGGGCACGAACTTCCTCGAGGTTATAGAAGCGGTAAAAATCGATCGATCTCTTTCACTTTTGCGACTAAATAGGATAAGAGCGGTAAAGTCCACAATGTGTGAATAGTGTACAGGGTGTCCTAAAAAGATGTAAACATTGTATCGTTGATAACTTTCTTGCGTTCAAGTTCTTTCGCCGAGTTTGAGGTACCATTGTGTAGAGCGAATGGTTCAACTTAGATTTAGAGTATGGGACGAATTATCAGCCAATTTTTTGTTGTAGGATAACGGCATGAACTTCAGCATATAACGCCAGTGTGGACTAGGCTTTTCGATAAAAAAATTTCAAGAAATTATGGAGATTCGAATATCAAGGTTTTCAGGCACGCTTATTTCACTAACTTTTTAACAGTTTTTTGAGCTTTTTTGAAGGTGTAATCACTTTGACGAACATTAGAAAAACACTTGTTACCCTAAACCTGGAAAGATCTTATGAAAGAAGCATTACAGTGTAATGCCACTTCTTCCATATTTGGAATCAGTAACTTATTCAATAAGAGTTCCTGGCTTGTTTCAAATTGAACCTATTGAATATGATGATACAACTATTCTTCTATCTATCATATCTCAATAGCTTTTCATTTCGAAAATGCACTTGTAGATAGTGAGCTGTGCAAATCTTGCAAAACTTGCACTTATGACTGAATGTGGCGCTGGTAGATCCCTGCAGATAACATCATGTGCACATTTTCTTGAACATTGTAAAGAGTTTCTTACTACGGTAGATAATTGAAATGATTCGAAGAAATAAGGTTGGTTGAGAATTTTTCACATTGGCGTATGCTAGGGCACCTTTGTTCCATTTTGCAACTTTGTTGACCCTAGATTAGAATAAACATCCCAGTTTTCTTGTTTTTATGTGCAAAAGACAACACCGTTAATGTGAATGTAAACTCGAGCTCAAAGCAAAAGGTTTTGGACAATCATTTTGTTCAAGAGAAGTACTTGCGAATGTAAAACCACCTCAGTCGCTCGGTTGCGAAAAATGTTTCTTATAATCAAGACCGAATTTGTTCTAGAGTAGTTTCAAACACACGTTGCATTTTATTTCAGTCCCTTTCGTAAATCAGTATGTATACCGTGTAGAACATTGTAAAAAAGTGCAACTCGAAGTGCCCTTTATGAATTGGCATTTAAAACTTCAAACGATTGGAAGTAAAGCTATTCACAGCAACAACATTGCGATGAATTAATTGAAATGAAAAGATGTTTTTTTTCTTCATGGGTGAACGAAAATTCTAATTCAACTTTTTCAATTAGAAGTGCAAGGATACCTACGATTCAAATATATTGGGATAATTCGTCTTTTATTGCCAGATATGAGCGACATCACACTCACATCTATCTTCCTGAGATCCAAAACGGCATAGGCGTGACATTCAACAAGGCCTACTCTATCGCACACACTTTCGCTCAGTTTTCCAGTCGCTAGGGTTATCAAAGGCAGCGGCTCGGCAGAATAGACCTACCTCAGAATTTGACACAGATTGATAGGAGGCCCTCCAAGTGAACCAAAACAGCAACTCCGCACCGAAGCGAGCCAAGCTCCGCTCCCCTTCCTTCTTTCGCTCCCCTAACACCTTGTGCGGACGAGCATGTTCGCCGCTAAAAAACGCGCCGTCGCTCGTCACTCAATTGTTCTAGCGCTCTCAACCTCCTTACTCTGCGTTCTGACGGCAGAGAAAAAGGCTCAATAGTCCGCGCCCGTCTCAAGGGGGTTTCAACAGACGGGGTTTTCCCCATTTTCGCGCTAAGGGAAGGGGGCTGGAATAGCCCCAAATCTGCCAAAACCCCGAAGTTGAAATTCTACCGAGCCGCTGCCTTTAAGCAGTCTCCTCGATGGAAACGAGGTAGAAGCTTTTCAAAAATCGAAATACCATGATCGAAATAGGATTGGGAAACAAGTGCATACATTTTTTGACCCAAACATGCAAATAATTTTGTAAAAATAGAGAGAAATATATAGATCCTCTAAGCCAACCTTAAGTGAACGACCGGAGGAGACGTACCTTGAACTGAACCAAGAGGGTTTTTAGTCCAATCTAATAGATTCTTATCAGCGTCACGGAACATCTCTGCGTTGCCGAACGATGATTATAAACAAAATTTGCGCAAGATCTTCCTTTTTTTCCTTCTCTCCTTCCTTTGCTGCAGCTCTCACAGCCCATTTCTCTATACCTACTAGAGGCTGTCGAACTGCTGCAGCGCAAGGAAAACAACCTAAAAATGTGACACGCCTATAATCGCAGTAGAAGTGACATTTACTCCGAAAACCTCGTCAGCACGCTCATACAAGAATAATACTTCCTTATTTTGTGACCTGACCAGTTCAAAATATGGTGACGACTCTGCCAGATTACCAGCTTTCAAGTTGAACGATTCAAAACCATAAGCTTTGCGATAGACTCCTTCAAAAGAAGAAACCTCAGTAACTAAAAAAAAACGAAAGTAGCCCGCAGTAGACAGTTTACCTTATCGAAATGATCCATTCCAGTAACAATGCCCTTTTTTAGAAATAGACTAACTGCTTGTAGAAATCTGCATACTTCACGCTATCTTTCTTCATTTCACTGTGCAGAAGTTCAAATTTTGTCGTTAAGAAGCTTGCGCAATTTCCTGATAGAAGAAAGGCAAGATAATCAGACACAGGTGACACCTTAAAATCAGTCGTAACCTTTTCCCAATGTTCAAATGAGGCAGCAGCGAATTGGTATAATTGAATCAAGAACATTTGTTGCACCGAGTGACCCGACTACCAATTAAGCCCAGTAAAAAATGTTAACAGTAATTTTAGCCTACTCCTGCATTCAGATTTTTACTCACAAAACCTTCATAACTCCTCGTCTAGATGTCCGCAGCAGATAGCAAAGGTAGATTTGGAATCAGCGTTCCAAGCTCTACAAGGCAGTATAGATATTATTTTAAAAGGCCTCTTCGACCAAGCTTTCTTTCCTTGTTAGAGCAACGCGGTATTGGCGGTGGGGCGCGATATCTAACATGGGGATTTTCGGAAAAAAAAGATGATAAAAAACGACGGACAGGGGGTGATGTCAAAATGTTTCTATGCTCAGGGATAGATTTTTGACCGGGGCATCCGTCCAAGCTAAAAAGCCAAAATTTATGTGAAGTGACGGAAATATATGCTGCAGACGATCTCACATCGTCTGATGGCCGTCTGGAGACGATCTAATTTTGAGAAACGTATTACTTCACACGAGTTTCAAATCTTTTCACATAATTCTTCCGCAAATAATTTTCTATACAACATTTTAATTTTGGTGTAATATGATTCTGTGTGCGCTGTAAACAAGCGATTTCATTTTAGCCTTGCTTTCAAATCGCGCGCACTTTTCGCCATACACGATAGAGTATGTCAGTCATGTAATAACATAACCTGTCTAGAAAGCTTGTGTTCGTCTGGATGGTCGTTTATCTTTGAGTTGCTGCCTCTTCATAGTCAAGTAAGAATTTTTTTCTGGAGTTTCTTTGCTTTTTGATTTGTTGCACATGGATTTGCATGTATAATAGTATTGCTCATTTTCTTTATCAAAACGTGTGCACATTTTTAGGATCAACTGGTTGGATTCTACTATTTATGGAAGAAAACTTCTGATGCCGTGAAGCCAAAATCACTTTCAAGAGAGCGAAATCAAGTAGCATGCATCAAGAGAAATTCAGAAAGTTCACAGAGCAAGGTTGTTATCTCTCATGCTTCTATACGTATTTGTAGCTCCTAATTGAACTTTAAGACATCACGACCTGCCTCTATTGAATTACTGGATTATGCGTCTGCAAGCAAAGGCGAAATGGAGGGATTGAAATCTGAAAAAACATCGCAATTTGCCTGCCATTGCCTGCCATCATTGCTGTTCCAGTAAGTGCATTTTTATGGTTATTTTGTTATGCGGCGAACTAGAATTGTCTTTTCAGAGAGTCGCGACTGGCATTATGCAGGAAGAGATGGTCTGCTGCTATGCACTGACTGTCGGCTTTTTTATAAAAAAAACGGTCAATTACGTCCCCTCGATCGGCCGTCAACTGTGCCTCCGTGTCTCTTCAAACGCACTCCATCTATCGAAGATATCGATGAAAACGGTGGAGTGAGAACTAGAGCTGGGAAGAAGGAACGATGAAGGTTTGTTTGCTCTAAAATCTTACTTATATTATTATGGGACGTCGATTTGCTTACGCCCATTGTGGTTATCTGGAAATTCATATGTTATACATATTCTACTAAATCGGCTTGCTATTCACCAAAACAAAAAATCAGGCAACTCAAATTGATTGTTTGTCACAATTTTTTTCTCCCAGTCTCGCTAGTGAACATGTGCAAAAATTTTTTGCGGGGCTCGGACCCCGCAAAAACAATATCCCCTTTGCTTGCTCCAAAAACGAAGTCCAGCCTGTTTCTAGACGGTCTGTGCCGGGCCCTGAATCTGCTCACCCCACTTGCTGAAAACTACTAAGTGAAGAAATAAGTCGTGTAAGAGCTTGTAGTTCACACTCACAGCAATTGATAAAGTACTCTACTAGAAGCATGTGCATTAATGAGAACTCAAACGGCTGATATTTTTGCAACTCGCTTATCTCACGCTTAGGCGGATGTCATTCAATCTATTCATTTCATATGATGGTGTGTGTCATTGCACACAATATGCACCCTGCTCCCATTTTTGCTCCTGAAAGCAGGTACGCCTCCTGCTTCCGGTGTTTCTCGCTTTGAATATATTCTCGTTCTTTATCTATGAACCTTCTATGGTTTTGTAAACGGTAAGGTAGGTCGATTTCTTTCGCTTTTGCGACCGAACTGGATAAGAGCGGTAAAATGCACATTGTGGAGTAGCACATATGTACGATTATGTGGAACGATTAGTTGTATTAGGTTATAACAGAATTAATGCAGGTTTTGAATTCCAACAGCAATAAGTCATACACTTCTCATTTCTAAGTAGGTTGCAAAATATCATTCGATAGAGCAAAGCAAGCTCTACAAGATGGCGGTCTTGATTTTGCAACAGCTTCAATCCACCACGAGTTTCGAGCCAAAAACTAAAAAGATATAACTACCCAAAAAATTGAGAAAAATCGTAACTCAGTTCAAAACCTACAAAAATTCTAACTTGCTCACGTAAACACAATCTACATAGGGCCTCTATACACGCCGTTGCCGTATCTTTTCTTTTGTTAGAAATCAAGTAAGCGGAAATTTTCGTGCGTTTGCCAAAGTGTTGCTGTGCCGTTTCCACATAAGCAGTTGTATACTACAAAGCTGTAGAATTACAAACGTAAATTTTCAGCACTCTACAGGCTTTAGTTCTCGAGAAATTTGAATTTTAGCTTGGACCACATAACTAGCGAAAACTGTATTCGATATTTTCCGAGAACTAAAGCTTGTAGAGAGCTGGAAACTCACGTTTATACTTCTACAGGTTTGTAGTATACAACTACTTATGTGGGAACGGCACAGCATCACTTTGGCAAACGCACGAAAATTCCCGTTTTCTTGATTTCTAACAGAGAAAAAATACGGCAAAGGCGTGTATAGATGTCTTATGTGAATAGTGTTTACGCGAGCAAGTTAGAATTTTTGTAGGTTTTTTATGAACTGAGATACGATTTTTCTCAATTTTTCGAACAGTCAAATCTTTTAATTTTTGGCTCGAAACTCGTGGTGGATCAGAGGTGTTGCTGAAGCAAAATTGCCACCTTGTAGAGATTGCTTTGCTCTATCGAATGGTATTTTGCAACCTACTTAGAAATGAGAAGTGTACGACTTATTACGGTTGGAATTCAAAACTTGCATTAATTCTGTTACAACCTAATAGCAGATTTTGCCAATAATGTTACATTTCGGTTGTGATAAATTTCCGATTCACTGATCTATCTATCGCAACCGAAATGGAAGACGATCTTCATGCAACGACTTCATACTTACCAATTTCAGCGATTTTAGTTTCAAAAATTCACAAAAAAACCACAGTGATCATCGCGGCGTCAACTCGGCTTTGTGCAAGCAAACACTGGTTTCAAAAATCATAAACAGTATTTTTCCTTCAAGTAGTAGCACACTTCCTGTGGCTTAGAACTGATATTCTATTGTTCGGAAATTTTTGTACCGCAGTTGATCGTAATCAAGCATGTATACTGTGCTTTACAAAGTTTATGAGATATAGTTCGGTAATTTTTGCACCGCTGCACAACTGCAATTGAAAGCATATGTGTGCGTTAAAAAACTAACAGATGAAAGTTCGCTTTGAGATATTGAGCTGGATTGTATATTGTGTCTAATGTGCAGACGTAAGCAACACGTACTATCTCAATAACCCCCATCGTTGAAGCGTCCTCAATGCTGTTATAGCGAGTTCGCCTAAATTGAGAAGAATTGATGAATGTGGAAGTTAGTGTATAGTGCAAAGGTATGATCGATACTAAAAAATCCAATTTTTGAACGTAAGAAAATCGTCATAGCAGATTTTAATCAAATGATTGCCACACATGTCTTTTTTATTAAGGTGATCGGTAAAAAATGGGGCAACTTGATTTTTATTACATTTTGAGGTTTTCTGTTCTCACCAACAACTAGCAGGCTGCAACTCAAACGTCGCTTACATAAACGACCTTCGCCTATTATCCTGACAACGCGTTACCGCCTCTCTCATAACCGTGCACGTCCGTGCACGTGGCGCCGTGAAGAACTCAGACAGGGTTTTTGGAACAATTCTCAGTCTTGCGCTGCTATACCGTAAAGTCATAAACCAAGTGAAATACCATTCGAAAGAGCTCTTTATGCTCTTTCAAACGGATGTTGAATGCATGAGATTTCTTTTTAATTTCAGAGGAAAAAGCGAGAAAATCTGAAAAAGAGCCTTTTCTGGCGCAATAAAAAACCAAAAAACCATGTTCTGCCCTATATTTTCCCAAGATAGATAAAATCTGGGATGATCTGTATATGGATGGATAGAGCGTAAAAAGCTCTATCAGATGGTGCCTACAGAACATGCGTTCACCCGCAATGAATTAAATAACGCGTATTTTTGTTCTCGAAGCTGTTAATGGCCATATCTCTTGACTTTGAAATTTGAGGCCATCAAGCCGTCGTGGGTTTAGTGGCAGTCCCACCAGCAATGGTATTTTGGGTGGTCATGTTTCACTGCGCAGTACTGTTCAAACTTTATAATTTATCGAAGTGACTGACTTTGCATTTTAGCAAGTATAAAAATTATCACTTATGCAAATGACCTTATATAGGTATTGTTTGAAAGAGAATAACATATTCTAACAACTGTCAAAATTGGAAAGTCTAATCACTTCTCTTTCTTGAGAAACTTCCAGTTATTTCGTAAGTGCCCCATTTTTTAGTGATCATCGTAATAAAAAAATCTAAAACTCAGCCAAACCACGAAAATCATATCATCGTCGACCTTACATACATATTGTGTATATTAATTCTTCTATTGTGGTAAAGGTATGCCTCAAATTACTTCACATCACACCCTCATATGTTAAAAATTTTTACACGACTTCATCTTAGTTGTCGAACTAACTCCTCTTTTACCCCCTGATGCATCATGTCACCAAGAAAATTACTGTATGCTATATTTCGGAATGAAAAGTTTTCAGAACACAGAACTCGTTGAAGTGGTCCAAACCATTTCTCGTATACACCAGCAGTAGAAGAGTTGCTTCCGCACATCAGATAATTGACTTATACCGGCTTTCATGCAATTTTTCTGGCTGCTTCAACTCTACACGCTCTCACAAGGATTTATTATAACATATATATTAGGTCGTCCCGAAAGTTCTTGCGCACGATTTTCAAAAATTCATAACTCTTCAAATTCTCAACGGATTTGTACGATCAAAATTTTGTATAAGAGAGGAACTCATGCTCTTTGCATATGTTCCTGAATTGTTCGATAATATTCACAGATGACGGAGATGGAAGCTCAAGACCAAAATCACTCAAAATTTGAATTTTTCGTGTAGGGTCATAAAAAATCGGAAACTTGCAACAAAAATCAGAGCAGCCAGTATTATAGGTTCTTTCACCAGCTCTTTCTAACAGTGCAAAGTTTGCGCCGATTGAGCGTCTCTATGAAAAGTTATGGTTTTGGAGCAAGCAATACAAAAAGGCGAATTTGATTTATTTTGGCATGTTTCAGGGAATTCATAACTTTTCACAGAGACGCTCAATCGGCGCAAACTTTGCACTGTTAGAAAGAGCTGGTAAAAGAACCTATAATACTGGCTGCTCGGATTTTTGTGGCAAGTTTACGATTTTTTATGACCCTACACGAAAAATTCAAATTTTGAGTGATTTTGGTCTTGAGCTTCCATCTCCGTCATCTGTGAATATTATCGAACAATTCAGGAACATGTGCAAAGAGCATGAGTTTCTCTCTTATACAAAATTTTGATCATACAAATCCGTTGAAAATTTAAAGAGTTATGAATTTTTGAAAATCGTGCGCAAGAACTTTCGGGACGACCTAATAAATACGGCAGAGGAGGCGAAAATGAAGTAACCAAAGTGAACTAGGTATGATCAACCTAATTTCCAAGCAAGCGACCTTGTAAAAATCTAAATAACGCATCTTCTACCTCACAAAATCAACGAGTTAAAGTTCGCTTATACTTTGCGGGATTAGATTGTGTTTAATGTGCAGATGTAAGCAACATGTGGATTTTTAGTAATGTTTAAAAGTTGATGGTTTTTTGTTCAGTTTGCTTGAGCACGAAACTTTAGGTCGAAGATTTGCAGGGCCACAGCCTTCAAGTCCATTAGAAAGACAAAATAGCTCGATTTATTTAGAAGAGGTTTACTTTTTGGATAACCTAACGAGCTAAAGTCTGCTAAAAAGACAATAGTGTGCTTGATTTCGGAATTTTATGTACGATTTTTGAGCAAAAAACTGCTCACAAGTCCATTTAGGCGTTTAGTAATGCGGAACACAGATTTGGTATCAGCGTTCTACGCTGCATATAAATCACTTCGACATCTAATTTTCTGCTAGAGGAATCCAAAGCTTGGTGTAAAACGTGATGGTTTGGGCTGTAGGATTGGCTGCAAACTCTTCACCTGATCTCCATCAACGCCACCCAAGGATTACCGGATCGTAAAAGAGGCAAGCCAGACAACAGATACGGTCGTAAATTTGTGCTAAGGACCGCACGTAACTTGTGACGGTCATAAACTCAAAAAGATTGCAGCTTAATTGCTGGAGCGTCATCAAACCAGTAATCGCTGTGCTGGGTGGTGAGCAAGTGGCTAATTTACAGAGCCAAGTAACGATAAACATTAGACAGTGCTTATTCCGCAAGCTAACAAAAACAGAGTAAGATTTCCATACGGTCCGCGTGACGTACACAACCTTGTTTCTAAATCATCTGTCGTGATAAGAAGAGGTTTCTGCAGAAGCTGCTTAACACTATCGACGAACTCTGTGGGAAGAATGCGACAAGTGTAAGTGGGCTACTATCGTATTACTCTTTAACCAATATCCGGAGTGGTCTTGGAAATCATTGAGATGGGATTAATCTATTATTATAGTTACATCAACACAAATAAAGCGTCATTAATCGATATAAACTTTATCGATTTTTTTTGGGAACTCCGAGCTACGAGGCTTAGATTCGGCACATGCCGGGTAAGTGAGAACGCTGGTTACGAACACATGTTAATTATTTATTTTTTATTTATGCAGTACGCTCTTGCGTTTCTTACAAAAGAAGAAAAAACACAGCTATGCACACTCTAACCCCAACGATAATGCATCATGTTAGATCCAATCTGAATAAGAGTGTGATGAAAGCTTGTTGATTGCTTTATAATTGTTATCAGGAATTGAATAATGTGATTCATGAAGATAGATTCATGGATAGAATATTTATAAATAATAATAAAGTTGACATAGGAGGTAAATGAGCATGCTAATTACGAAATATAGTTTTCAACTCATCGAATCTCAAAAAGCTTGAGCTGCGAGGCTGGAAATTGGCACAAAATTGTGAATGAGCATGCATACTACGGAGACATAGGAAGGCGAGGCGGGTACAGGCGTATAATGATGAGACCGGAACAGGAAAATGCTGTGCAGATGTAAGGTATAGTGTTTTATAGTAGTGTACTGACAGGGTCGGGATCAGGGCCCGGCACGAGCTTGTCAAATGACAAGCTGAAAATCGTTTTCGGCAAAAAAAGCAAAGGGGTAATCGTTTTTGTGGGGTCCGGAGCGGAGCCCCCCCCCCCCCCCAAAAAAAGTTGGTAGTTTATGCTCGCTGCTCATCTTAACATGTTATGTGCCTCAACAGGCGAAAACTGGAGTTCGCGCGCGTCAAACCGCGCCGTCGCTAATTGTCGCACGCGCGACGTCGCTCAAGCGATGCTATTTGTAACAGCATACATGACTAGTTCTCAATGTATGCGTAACGCTATGGCACCAAATTTTGTATGCGAACGGAGAGAGGCTAATGGAAATAAACTATGAAAAATTATGAAAAACTTATGTGATTTCCGTGAATTTCGCAAAATTGTTAAATTAAGATGTGAGTTCAAACGGCTCGCTTGGAACGCACAGATGACGATATGGTATGAAACTTGGTACGCACGTAAACACATGCCTGTAGGAGTTAACGTAGGAGTTTCATTGAAAAATTATGTGACTGAAGGTTGTGGCAAACTTTTTTCTGAAAATTTCCCGCTACCAAAGAAACGAAAAAATGGCTCGTTTGCAACGCAGAGGTAACGAAATCGCGCGGGATTTGGTGTGTGTATGCGCAGTAGGACTAAGTAACTAAGTATGAAATATTATGAAAAACTTATGTGAATGAAAAGTTTCCTTAACTAATTTCCAAATTAGCTTGTCATTTGACAAGCTAATGACAAGCTGAGCTTGGCAAAACTCTCAATTCACATAATTTTTCCAAAATATTTACATAAATCTACTCTTCACCTAAAGATTAGTATATAGTGAAAATTTGGTTTCAAACCTCCCCCTCTCCTCATTGCTAGAGGCAAAAATAGCCTCAAAAGCCGCGTTTCCTAAGGAGAAAAGCGTGCTCCAATCCAACGGCGTATCGCTGAGTCCCTTCTGGTCGGCGTCCACATTTCCCTATTTCGTCGTTCTCGTTATTTCGTCCTCTTCCTGCTTTAGCTGCGATCGTTGCCGTCTACTCTCGTACTCGAAAACATCGAGCAATTGCTGCACTGGTGAAGAACTGCATGGTCTTGCTGTTCTCACTTCTGACTTTGCAAGTATAGCAGAAGCAATCGATTCAAGAACGCTCTGGTGAGTTTTTGTGATTTTTTGCAGTGTTTGGTCCAGTGGTATGATGTTAATATTCTTAGTGCCTTTGTTTCCGAATTTGGACGCTCATTTCTTTCATAGTCCTAACCTTTTGTGATTTTCCTGCACTACTGGTACTTTGTCCAAGTTGATTATGCTTCTCTATGTTTTTGCACCGTTGTTTCGATCGATGATCTTCATGTTCACCGCACATTTCTGCAGCTATAGTAGTCACCTCTATTGCGAAAGTTTCCATGATATACAGCGGAAAAGGGAGGTGATGATGCAGATTCGTTTCATGCTTCTCATCTGCCTTCAGAGAATCACTGTTTTAGCTTTCTATTATTGAATCCTTGTGTTCGCAACGATTGCTTCTTAATCGTAAAAGCAGCTGATAGTCCTTATGGAAAGTTTCGCGATAGAGGTGACTATCATAGCTGCAGAAATGTGCGGTGAACATGAAGATCATCGATCGATATAACGGTGCAAAAACATAGAGAAGCATAATCAGCTTGGACAAAGTACCAGTAGTGATAAGATAGTAGATAAGCATAACTCTGTGTGTTGTCTGTGTTGTTAGTGAATCCAGATAAATGACAGATTTTGCAGTCATTGTTTTGGATAATTCCTGCCTGACTCAAATTAATTTTCTTTTTTAGTGGTATGTTATTGTCTGATGCTCAAAGACAGGACGTTGTTACGGATTTCTTATCTTCTTTGGTTCCTCATTGAAGTTCTAGCAGTCCGCAATGACTTTCACTCCTTGCGAGCACTACAAGCGATATTTGTCAGTCTCCCGATCTTCATATGCGTGACTTCCCCGTACAAACCAGCTCCCGATCAATCGATGCGCTTGTTTATAAGGACAGAACAGCTCCCGACACAGATCGGGAGCAGAGGTGCGATAGTGGGAGCCGATTCTCCCCCTACCTTCACTTTTGAGCTGGTACAGAGTGACCACCTTCACTTTTGGAATGATAAATTTTTCGCTGGACGATAAAGAAGGAAAATAAGCAAAACAAACGCAAAAAAGATTACTGAAACATATATTTATGTATACGGCGGCATATATATTTAAAATAAACGTGTTCAGTAAATGGTGTATTTGGTAGTAAAACTTAGCAAAACTGTACGAATTTTATTAAGCAAATTTCGTTATAACGTACAGCGAAGAAAGTAGGTCGATCTAGGCAAACGGCCGAGAAACCAGAATTTTGAATATTTAAGTAGTGAAAAATTATGCGAAATTCCCACTGTCATAAATCTGTTGTTTGAAGATGTCAGCAGTTGCGACTTCATAGGTTTTGAAGAATAAATGGTGCTCTATCACCAAGTGAAAAAAACGAATGGATTTGTGAGATAGTCGTTGAAAACCAGAATTCTAAAAATTTACGCCATTTTTGCGTGTTTTTTGACAGCTGACAGTTAAACTCATCTAAATCTTGCAAGTGAAAATGTGTGATGTTGCGACTTCATAGGTTTTGTAGAGTAAGGTTTGCCTTATCTGAATATATCTTAGCCGTTCCGATCCATTAAAACACCTCCGAGATCCAGAGTCTTGAAGAAGCAGGTAAAAAAGCGCCTTTTGAAATTCAACAGCCCATAACTTCTTCAGAACTGCATGAATCATATTGAGACTTCTTAGGTTAGATTCTTCTCATCAAGAGCTTTCAGATGATTTATAATATGTGGGGGTTTAGAGCCTCCTACGAATTATGCCCGTGGGGGGAGCCTTTTCATACCAAAGTCTCCCCCTAGCCCACTTTAATGTATTGGAGGGGGGAGACTTTGGTATGAAAAGGCTCCCCCCACGGGCATAATTCGTAGGAGGCTCTAAACCTTCACATATTATATATCATCTGAAAGCTCTTGATGAGAAGAATCTAACCTAAGAAGTCTCAACATGATTCATGCAGTTCTGAAGAAGTTATGGGCTGTTGAATTTCAAAAGGCGCTTTTTTACCTGCTTCTTCAAGACTCTGGATCTCGGAGGTATTTCAGTGGATCGAAACGGCTAAGACATATTCTGATAAGGCAAACCTTAGTCTACAAAATCTATGAAGTCGCAACATCACACACTTTCACATTCAAGATTTAGATGAGTTTAACTGTCAACTGTCAAAAAAACAGCAAAAATGGCGTAAATTTTTAGAATTCTGGTTTTCAACGATTATCTCTCAAATCCACTCGATTCTTTCACTAGCTGATAGAGCACCATTTACTCTTTGAAACCTATGAAGTCGCAACTGCTGACATCTTCAAACAACAGATTTATAACAGTGGAAATTTCGCATGATTTTTCACTATTAAAATATTCAAAATTCTGGTTTTCGGCAGTTACTGCCTAGATCGACCTACTTCTTCGACCTTCTTCTTCTTAATATGTTATGACAAAATTTACTTAATAAAATCCGTACAGTCCAACAAATTTTTACTTCCAAATACACCATTTACTAAACACGTCTATTCAATTTTTATAAATAAAATTTATAAATATTTTTAATATTCATCGTATCTGTGGTCCTAAAGACGGCCGCTGGGTCACAGTTCGACCTAGAAAGATAGCTCTGTTCGTCCGTCCTCCCCCCCCCCCCACCCCCCCCCCTCCCTCCACACACCCCCCCCCCTGCCCGTCGACGTTTTTGGGAGGTGAGTGTCCGACACTACCACCTTCACTTTTGGCCGGCCAGTGGTAGCTGGGACCACCTTCACTTTTGGTGGGCCCGGCTCCCCCCATCGCACCTCTGATCGGGAGACTGTCAAATATCGCCCATGAATCATCTGTAACTTGAAGTTCTTCACAAGTGTTTAGTTCCTCCAAAACCTACTATTGCATACTACACTGTATCTCTGAGCCATCTTCAAATTCTCTTTTGTTTCAGAAAACAACGGTACGGCAGCAGCAGTTTCTCAATCGCCTAGTGAGTCCGATGACTCACTGTACCCGATCGCCGTTCTCATCGATGAACTTCGCAATGAGGATGTGCATCTGAGATTGAACAATATCCGCAAGTTGTCTACTATCCCTCTTACGCTCGGAGAGGAACGCACTAGAAATGAATTGATTCAATTCCTAACAGGTATGCAGTCACTTAGGATACTTTACGAATAATTTCCCTTACTTTGTTTGTTTATGTTTCCTTGCTCTATTTCGTAGACGCTGTCGTTATGGTAGGTACCAGACTTATGCTGCTCAATCGGTTCATTTGGTTCACCTCTTTCGCTATTGGTCAATTCAGTGATTTGACCAATAGCGAATGGGTGGACCGCATGATTAGGGCCCATGATTTAATGCTTTGCTTCATATCAGTATTTTCAACTATTCACATCTGTCTGAATGCTATAGAGCTTGCGGGCTTTCGAGAAAGCGTTGGGTATTCCTTCTACTAGATATTTACTACTCAGCTACTTAGTCTAGAATTGCCTCTTGCTTTCAATACGTATAGGTCTTTTTGTATTCTTTCCAACAGATTATATCTGAAAGCACCATAACTCTTTTCGAAAACATGAGAGACTCCACGAGCTCCCTTTGGTGTCGGTTCACAAGCAACACAATTCTAATTTGCGATGTTCAGACACCATTTATGATAAGGACGAAGTGCTGCTCATTCTTGCTGAACAGCTTGGAAACTTCACTCCTTTGGTGAGTATACCTGCAGCTTTTTGGTATCTTTGTTGTTTTATGCTGAAGCCTAACCGTTCAGGTTGGCGGTCCGGAATACGTCCACTGTCTGCTTCCTCCGCTCGAGAATCTCGAGAATCCCCCCTCCCCCCGCGCTCCTCCTCCCCTAGCTGCCGGTGCTGTCCTTTATTGACCTCATGTGGAGATCTCTAATATGATCTCATTTTTTGTTTTTTTTTTGTCATAAATGAATTCTTTTTATTTTTTCGTCAATAAAACTTGTTTTTTAGTCAAAGTGTTCATTGCAGAATCACTGGGACCAATTTTTTGGTCAAAGGGGAAGTCGTAAAAAATTTTTGGGTCAAAGGGGAATTCGTTTTCAAAAACCCCTTTTGACAAGCTCGTGCCGGGCCCTGGTCGGGATGAGCCGGGTACCCCAGCTAGTTATCATGTTTGCTACAGGAATCTCCAGTGTCAGCGTGATGTCTGCGTTCGTCTTTTTCACGCATGTAATCTCCATTTCGTCCTCGCCATTTTTAGGAATCCATAGTAAGCTACTTTAGATAAAACCACTGAGAAATTTTTTGATTTCTAGAAGCCAGTACGCTTTAAATCTACTACTCATAAGTGTAGCTTTGCAAATACCATGATTCCCACAAAGAAATGGGGGTCTAAAATCAAACCAACAATTGCCAACAAGCATAGGTACATGTTACCAATGACAGAAATTTTGAAGCTTACTTCAAGACAACCGCAACGTTCTCCATTACAATGAGTAATGGAGAACGTTGCGGTTGAATTACCGCGTGATTTTCGAAGCACTATGCTTCACCTATGTTGACCTTGTCTTGAAGTAAGCTTCAAAATTTCTGTCATTGATTGGCGCACACTTTACAGATGTTTATACTTTGTTCGAGTCTCTCTCGCCTTGAACTGACCTTGCAGTAATTATAATAAACGCGCCGATGAGAATGACGTTGGATTATTTGTTTATAAATACAGGGTGTCCCAAAAGTAAGTACACACTTTTCAATCGTCAATATCTTTCTTCCTAGTGTGTCTTTTTCCACCATTTAAGTACCATTGTGTAGAGGAGGCTTCAGCTTAGATTTGCAAAGTCGAGCGAATCACCGATCTCTCTTCATTACTGTAGGATTACTGTAGGAACTCTCGGCAAGGATTTTAGGCCATTGGGAGTCATATTCTGCCTCGGAACAAAACCAAACAAGCCAAAAACTCTTATACTATGGTAGTGGAAGCCGTTGATTCCGAATCTGAAATTTTCACTTTACTGTGATACTTTCAAAGTATTCCAGGTAAACCTAATAACCGAATTTCCAGTATTTGTCAAAGTTGTGATTACACCGTCAAAAAAGCTGAAAACACTTGTAAAAAGTTGTGTAGTGTTATCAGAGTGTGCGAAAATTCTAGTATGCGATTTTTCAGATTTTTTGAAAAAAGTTTTGTCAGATGGCGTATCTCACAATGGTTCCATATGCTGGAAGTTCTTACCGTAGTCCTACAGTAACAAGGAGCAATAGGTGATTCGATTGATAATGTAAATTTAAGTTGAAGCCTCTTCTATAGAACACTACTTAACTGGCAAAAAAAGACCCAATGGGAAGAGAGATATTGACGATTGAAAAGTGTGTACTTACTTTTGGGACACCCTGTATTGTGCTTTACTTGCTCGATTAGGACATGAAGCGGGACGTTTGCTAAGAAGTAATCCACTTTGCTTGACATAAGGAAAAAAGCCCCTTAAGTTTTTGACACAAAGTATCCTTGCAAAGTGTTAGTCAGGGCCCGGCACGAGTCGGTTTCTAGGGTTTCTAAAAACGAAGTCTCCCATGACTTTCGGAAGTTTTACGAAGTCCTCTTTGACCTACCTGCTTAGGAGAAGATGAAAAGAAGAAAGATTTACTAGTCTGAAAAAAAAAGACGTAAGATAAGAGTGAAAATCCAAATCGGAGCTGAATACTACGCATCAGGATGGCATTAGAGCACGATATTTAACAAAGCGAGAAGAAATGAAGGCAAAAAACAAAGGCAATGATATGAAAATGCTATCATGCTCAGGGATAGATTTTTGACCGGGGAATCCGTCCATGCTAAAAAGATCCGAAACTTATGTGAAGTGACGAAAATATATGCTTCAGACGATCTCAGATCGTCTGTTGGCCGTCTGGAGACGATCTAATTTTGGAAAAGGTATTACTTCACATAAGTTTTCAAATCTTTTCACATAATCCGTTCGCAAATAATTTTCTATACAAATAGTTCAATTTTGGTGTCATATGCTTCCGTGTGCGCTGTAAACAAGCAATTTGTTCATTTTAGCCTCGCTTTCAAATCGCGCGCACTTTTTGCCTCACACGAAGAGCATGTCAATCGTGTGATAACCTGTCCGAAAAACTTGTGTTTGACTAAATCGCGCTTATTCTTGGTGCTCGGTTCCGACTTGTCAAAAACGATATCCTTGCTGTTTGCTTCGAAAACGCAGTCCAGCCTGCTTCCAGACGATCTGTGCCGGACCCTGGTGTTAGTAGGTTAGTAAGCCGAGCAAGGTTACTTTATTAATTAGTGGCTGCCTGATGTTTCGACTAGATCGTCTTCTTCAGAGGCTAGGGTTGGTAAGAAATTAATGAAATCAATGCCTTACCCCAGCAGAAACCTCTTCCATCCTGGCTAGCCTCGACTTCACCCCCGAATGCTAAAACGAAAATACGCCGCTGCCGCGTAGATGTTGAATGCGGCCGTCTTCGAGTGCCACTAGTAATAATGGTGGAATATAGTCATACCGTTGACACTAATCACTAGCGGCATTCCTCAACTATAACTCCAAAAATGCATAAAGTCATTCGTGATTGACGCAGACTCATTTCGGCTGTTCATGCATGGATTCCCTGCGAAAATTCAGAATGCTTCGAGAGCTTTTCTACTAGCAGTGTCATACTCGTGTGCCAGTATAGTACATCTGATTTTGATGTCCTTACCACTGTGGAATTCAACTCTATGTTTACCAAGCGGTGTGGTAAGACTTTCCCGTCTCTCGTTGACAAGATGTTCTTTCATTCTTACCCATAACGGTGTCCCGTCGCTCCGATATATGTGGCGCTGCACTCAATACATTTGATCTCATATATCACACCGTTCTTACCGCAGTCACCAATTTTACCAGATAGACAAACTACACAGTCTTGGATTCTGCAGTAGTTGTTGTAAAGGCTGTTACGTACTAGCCGCTTCCTAATGTTGTCACTTGGAATGTTAATCAAAATGAAATCGTTTTCGATGTTCACCTGTTTGATGCGTCGTCGCACTATAGCACTAGTCGCGTCAGAAACGAAAGGAAGACAGAGAGGTATTTTCTGTTGGTGTTGGTTGCTGTTGATGGAAATAGATGGTCCACCACGTCCCTTTCGGAACGTGTAGCCATTCATTCGAGCAATATCCAGCGCCCATCTCTGCGACTATTTCCGTTCTTCTTCTCCTGTGCATACGTTCGTTGCTGCTTTGAGCATTCACGAATAACAGCTCTTTTGAAAGTAATCGGATGTGCGGAGCGAGCATTAATTAAGATATTCTTGAACTCTCTTTGCGATACCATTTTATTAGGTTATTGCAAAAATAATGTCCGTTTTGCAAATTTTCACTTTGAAAGGCTATAACTTTGTCCAGTCTTCATATTCTTAAATGCAGTCAAAACCATATGAAGCAGTAAACCTTTCTTAACCTGATGCATACCTGCACTTTCTGATATTACAAACGGGAAGAAAACCGTGCGTCAAAAGATCGAAAGTTTTTCTTTTGAAAACGTTATTTTTGAGAGGTTACAACTCCCTTCAAGTTTTGTTCCTTTGGCTGCTGGTTAGCTTGTTTTGTAGACGCAAGCCAGTAGTATACGTCTGCTTAAAAAAAACTTGAACGAAGGAGTTCTTTGAACAGAAAAGATAGAAAATTCAAGATTGAGCCTACCTGTAGTAGGCCAGAAAGTCACAAACTCGGAAATTTGAAATTCCTGACATACTGAATAGCTAAGCTTTTTCGCAAAAATTGTGGAAAAGATCTCCTGGCCTCAAGCATACAGAAATGAGCGAAGCTTCAGCGATTGTTCTAATTGTAAAAAACTTTGGGTCTATAGAATGCCAGCAGCTATCTCTTTCAGGGTGTCGATTTCTCGGTCCATTCTCGAAAAATCTACTTAAACATGCTATAGATAAATAATGTTCAACCACTACAGTAGCTATGTCTTCAAAAAAAAACCCGTTCATATGCGCCTGGATTGTGGCCAACAAAGTCAACGCAACGAAATTTCGATTTTGAGTGCAGCTGTGTGAAATGCTGGTAAAATTCTCACAGATGAGAAAGAAGCTTAATTCCACGACCATTAGCAAGTACATGAAGAAAGCTTTCCAATGAAATACAGAATCCATATCGAAAAAGGAACATTGAAGGAAAAAAGTTGTTTGGAAAATAGGCCTAGAAAAACGGACATTATTTTTGCAACAACCTAATGCATTCGCAGTGCCGTTGGACAGTTTGATTTGCATGTTGAGATAAGAAAGCCAACCATTTTTTCGGTTGCTGCCGTGTATGTGAGTTGAAGAATGCCACTAGTCATTAGTTGTCAACGGTATGACTGTATTCCACCATTAGTACTAGTGGACTCCAGGACGGCCGCATTCAACATCTACGCGGCAGCGGCGTATTTTCGTTTTAGCATTCGGGGGTGAAGTCGAAGCTAGCCAAAATGAAAGAGGTTTCTGGTGGGGTAAGGCATAAAATCATTGATCTCTTACCACTTTAGGCCTCTGAAGAAGACAATCTAGTCAAAACGTCAGGCCGCCACTAATTAATAAAGTACTAATTTCGCTCGGCTTACTAACCTATCAACACATCGAAATCACAACGCCGAGGTCCACAAAAGAGGAAACTTGGAAGTTTCTATCTTTGCAATAATCTTTTCGCCATCAGCTAAAAGTTGCAGCGAATGTGAGAGAGCCTAGGAACTTGGGCACGGTGTGTTATTACTTTTCAGTCCTATCTCAGAGACCAATTCTCGAACCAAAAGTATAACCTCTAGGTCTAGCATTCCAACAATTGACTGCCACCTGAATATCATGTTTTGCACCAGACAGCAATGGCAAATGAAGAAGAGCAATTTGATTGCATAAAGTTTTGTTACAAATT